GTGTGTGTATAAGGAGATGTAGTTATATCGCGCTGTGTGTGTATAAGGAGCTGTAGTTATATCGCGCTGTGTGTGTATAAGGAGCTGTAGTTATATCGCACTGTGTGTATAAGGAGCTGTAGTTATATCGCACTGTGTGTGTATAAGGAGCTGTAGTTATATTGCGCTGTGTGTGTATAAGGAGCTGTAGTTATATTGCACTGTGTGTGTATAAGGAGCTGTAGTTATATTGCACTGTGTGTGTATAAGGAGCTGTAGTTATATTGCACTGTGTGTGTATAAGGAGCTGTAGTTATATTGCACTGTGTGTGTATAAGGAGCTGTAGTTATATTGCACTGTGTGTGTATAAGGAGCTGTAGTTATATTGCACTGTGTGTATAAGGAGCTGTAGTTATATTGCACTGTGTGTGTATAAGGAGCTGTAGTTATATTGCACTGTGTGCAGTGGTGTATCCTGGTTTTGTGCTGCCCTAGGCAGGACAAAACTCAGGCACCCCCCGCGCTACCCCCACCCACGCAACCGCCACCCAACCCTTCCCCCCTGCTCCCCCTTCTAAATACACACACACATTCACTGACAGATACGCATTCACTAGCTAACTCACTCACTGACAGACACACACTCACTGGCAAACACACACTCACTAACAGGCAAACACTAACAAGCAAACACACACACACTAACAGGCAAACACACACACACTAACAGGCAAACACACACACTAACAGGCAAACACACACACACTAACAGACACACACACTCACTAACAGACACACACACACACACACTCACTGGCAAACACACACACTAACAGGCAAACACACACACACTAACATCCACACACACACACTAACATCCACACACACACACTAACATCCACACACACACATCCACACACACACTAACATCCACACACACACATCCACACACACACACACTAACATCCACACACACACATCCACACACACACTAACATCCAAACACACACACTAACATCCAAACACACACACTAACATCCACACACACTAACATGTGTTTTTTTTATGTTTTTATTTACCCTCCCCCCCAGCCTCCTTACTTTTGCTGGGGGGGTTCTTCCTCTCCCTGGGGTCCTGGGGTCCAGTGGCTGCAGGGCGGGCGGGCGGCCGGCCGGCCGGCGAGGGAGCTCTTCCCCCGAGCACTCTGCTCAGCTCCCTCGCGCGCCGCCAGCAGAGTGAGGCTGAGAGCCGGAATATGACGTCATCAACCCGGCTCCCAGCCTCACTCTGCTGACGGCGCGTGAGGGAGCTGAGCAGAGCGCTCAGGGGAAGAGCTCCCTCGCCGCCCGCCCAGCGCTGCCCGCTCAGCATGTCTGTTAGCCGCGAGGCTAACAAGGCATTTGCCCTGGGCATTTGGGGGCGGCTTTTTTGCCGCCCCCCGAAAAATGCCGCCCAAGGCAAATGCTTTGTTTGCCTCGCGGCTAATACGCCCCTGACTGTGTGTGTATAGGGAGCTGTAGTTATATTGCACTGTGTGTGTATAGGGAGCTGTAGTTATATTGCACTGTGTGTGTATAAGGAGCGGTAGTTATATTGCACTGTGTGTGTATAAGGAGCTGTAGTTATATTGCACTGTGTGTATAAAGAGCTGTAGTTATATCGCACTGTGTGTATAAGGAGCTGTAGTTATATTGCACTGTGTGTGTATAAGGAGCTGTAGTTATATCGCACTGTGTGTATAAGGAGCTGTAGTTATATCGCACTGTGTGTGTGTATAAGGAGCTGTAGTTATATTGCGCTGTGTGTGTATAAGGAGCTGTAGTTATATTGCACTGTGTGTGTATAAGGAGCTGTAGTTATATTGCACTGTGTGTGTATAAGGAGCTGTAGTTATATTGCACTGTGTGTGTATAAGGAGCTATATTGCACTGTGTGTGTATAAGGAGATGTAGTTATATTGCACTGTGTGTGTATAAGGAGCTGTAATTATATTGCACTGTGTGTGTATAAGGAGCTGTAGTTATATTGCACTGTGTGTGTATAAGGAGCTGTAGTTATATTGCACTGTATGTATAAGGAGCTGTAGTTATATTTCTCCACTGTGTGTGTGTATAAGGAGCTGGTTATATTGCACTGTATGTGTATAAGGAGCTGTAGTTATATTTCTGCACTGTGTGTATAAGGAGCTGTAGTTATATTGCACTGTGTGTATATAAGTGAGCTGTAGTTATATTGCACTGTGTGTATATGAGCTGTAGTTATGCATTGCACTGTGTGTATATGAGCTGTAGTTATATTGCACCGTGTGTATAAGGAGCTGTAGTTATATTGCACTGTGTGCAGTGGTATCCTGGTTTGCGCTGCCCTAGGCAGGACAAACCCCAGCAACCTCCGGGCACCCCACCCACGCCAACCTCCACCCAACCCCTTCCCTGCTCCCCTTCTAAATACACACACACACACACATTCACTGACAGATAATGCGATTCACTAGCTAACTCACCTCACCAATAGACACACACACCTACCTGGCAACACACACCTACCAACAGGCAAACACTACAAAGACACACACACCTCACTGGCAAACACACACACACTAACAGGCAAACACACACACACCAACAGGCAAACACACACACTAACAGGCAAACACACACACACAATCACTGGCAAACACACACACTAACAGGCAAACACACACACACACTAACACTAACATCCACACACACACTAACACTAACATCCACACACACACTAACATCCACACACACACACACACACACACATCCACACACACACAGTAACATCCACACACACACACTAACATCCACACACACTAACATGTGTTTTTTTTTTTTTTTTTATTTAACCCCCCCAGCCTCCTTACTTTTGCTGGGGGGGTTCTTCCTCTCCCTGGGGTCCTGGGGTCCAGTGGCTGCGGGGCGGGCGGGCGGGCGGCCGGCGAGGGAGCTCTTCCCCTGAGCGCTCTGCTCAGCTCCCTCGCCGCCCGCTCAGCGCCGCCCGCTCAGCATGTCTGTTAGCCGCGAGGCTAACAAGGCATTTGCCCTGGGCATTTGGGGGCGGCTTTTTTGCCGCCCCCCGAAAAATGCCGCCCAAGGCAAATGCTTTGTTTGCCTCGCGGCTAATACGCCCCTGACTGTGTGTGTATAGGGAGCTGTAGTTATATTGCACTGTGTGTGTATAGGGAGCTGTAGTTATATTGCACTGTGTGTGTATAAGGAGCGGTAGTTATATTGCACTGTGTGTGTATAAGGAGCTGTAGTTATATTGCACTGTGTGTATAAAGAGCTGTAGTTATATCGCACTGTGTGTATAAAGAGCTGTAGTTATATCGCACTGTGTGTATAAAGAGCTGTAGTTATATCGCACTGTGTGTATAAGGAGCTGTAGTTATATTGCACTGTGTGTGTATAAGGAGCTGTAGTTATATCGCACTGTGTGTATAAGGAGCTGTAGTTATATTGCGCTGTGTGTGTATAAGGAGCTGTAGTTATATTGCATTGAGTGTAGCTCGCACTAATTCTGGGAAGAAGGAGCCATGGCCAACAGACCTGACATCGTGGGATAGACAAAAAACAGAAGACTGTAGTCGTGGTGGATGTGGCAATACCCAGTGACTATAATATCAAGAAAAAGGAACACAAGTAGGTGGAGAAACAGCAAGGACTGAAGAGCTAGCAAATGATGTGGAAAGTGAAGGCAGTCCCAGTTGTGATAGGAGCACTCAGGGCTGTGACCCCCAAGTTGTGGGAGTGGTTCAATAGATTCCAGGTGAGACATCTGAAATCGCTGTCCAGGAGAGTGCGCTACTAGGCACAGCTAAGATACTGCGCAGAAAACTCACACTCCCAGACCTCTGGTAGAGGACCCTAGAATGAGGTGGCTTACGAGTAAATAAGTGATCATCAGACATAATGTAGAGGTAAGTTGACTGCAACCTGTTACTCGTTTTCCTGGCACTATAGTTTTAATAGGTCCCCCGCTCTCACATGGCCCCCCTCCCGCCGGGCTGAAGGGGTTAAACACTCACCTTTCTCCAGCGCCGGGCTCCCTCAGCGCTGGGGACTCTCCTCCTCCTTTGGACGTCATCGGCTGAATGCGCATGCCTGACAAGAGCCCTGCGCGCAGTTAGTCCATAGGAAAGCATTTCTCAATGCTTTCCTATGGACGCTGGCATCTTCTCACTGTGAAAATCACAGTGAGAAGCGCCTCTAGCGGCTGTCAATGAGACAGCCACTAAAGGCTGGGTTCTTTGAAACTGCTATGTTTACAGCAGAAAGGGTTAATCCTAGATGGACCTGGCACCCAGACCACTTCATTGAGCTGAAGTGCCTATAGTGGTCCTTAAAGGAAAAGTCATTACTCAAGAGAGCATACAAATATAAAACAAGACACTATAATAAACAGCAATTAACATGTTTATTGTCAACAACAAGATCTTCCGTTGTTGTTCATTACACTATTCACTAAGAGATGGTGGAAACAGACGATAATCAGACCAGTTTGGGAATTCAGGTAACGCCAACCAGGAGATCAGAGTCTAAAATACAAAAAAAGGCACAAATTAAATCTATGAACACATAACTAAATGACACATCTTTAAGGCAGAATAAATACGTTATCTCTTATTCCGATTATTCATGGAATTGATGGTGATAGTTTTCTAGGCCCCGCCCCTATGAAAAACCAGCCCGTTATTGTCCACGTAAAAACATTGGGCATCGGGCCACAGAACTTGCCACCAGTAGCACCAGCAGTCAGATGAGCCGCGAGGAACGCGGAGTGAGTTCTTAGCACAGCTCCAGGTAGCTCGTACTGTAGTGATTCGTGTGGTCTATTGTTGTGACTTAGATGATGATCAGATCACATTTTATGACCAATTTGTGCAGAAATCCATAGCATTCCAAAGGGTTCACATACTTTTTCTTGCAACTGTATATGTTAGAACATTCATTCCCTTATTACGAGACACAATGAAAAGCTTTGAACTGTGGGACAATCTGCATAAGGTGAGGAGTAAACACTACATGTTACAAATAGCCCCCCAAAAACGGAAAATAATAAAAGTGAACCCAGAAATCGTATTTCTTTTATATAGTGTCCGTGCAGGGAAGGATTATAATTAGAATTCACGATAACCAGAGATGAAGGAGTTAATATTGTGATTTCTTCATTGCCTTAATTGTCATATAGTTACATATACACGCAATTATCACAATGGCTTTCAGATCTATAATTTAGTTTAAAAATGTAAAAACCAAAGGAAAAAAAAAAAGTTACCTGCGCTCTCTCACAAATCCCTATGTATATTTAAACAAATGGAGGTTATTCCAGTGGCCATTGGAGTCAAGGCAGACCCCCTCAGGTGGGTCCTACTCTTACCCTTCACCTTGCTTCCTTGAGCTTCTGGCAAATATATCTCTA